CCGGATCTGAACTCCCAGATGGACTCATCCCAGGTGGAGAGGGGCTCCCCATTTGCGTGACAGCTAGGGCCTTGTAAAGCAAAGACTTGAAAAGTTGGGGCCTAAAAAGTCGAATGAAGGCGGGTTGGTCTGGGGCCAGACCCTCGTCGTCTGAAAGGGTCAACTCCCTGGATTTTTCCTCTTCAGACATGACCCCTGCTCAGAATGCTCTGGTGAATAGTGTTGTTCTTCAGACAGTTCCTCCTGAGCCTGATAATGCTGAGGATGGGCAACCTGAGGAATGGGTTGGAGAAAGCCCTGCTGCAAACCCTGTGCCAGACCTTGCTGGATGGCTCTGGCAATAATGGCCTCCAATGTGGCCTGAGGATCCGTGGCCTGTGGACCCCCTTGAGGGCGAGGAGGGATCTGGGGCTCAGGATCCGGACTTGCAGGGTCCTGGGCATTATCAATTACAGGATCAGGCCCCAATGGTTTGAAAAAGAGGCTCTGCACGAGGGGGAGGAGGAGGACCGCATGGGGTGGGATGGTCAGGAGATAGCTCACCCTATGGTGAGGACCAGTGCCCTGAGGAGAATTGGAGGCTGACAAAGTAGTTAAAATGGCGGCCGGCTGTTGCTGGGCCTTGAGAACTGAAGTAGCCAAATGGCGGCCGGCTGTTGTTGTTGGGCCTTAAGAACTGCCTTCTCTAGTGCCTTGTGGCGTCTGAGTTCCTCTCTGGAAGGCTTGGGGGGGTTTAGAGGTGATAGAGGCTGGAGCCTTAGCCAGTGCCCTGCCCTGGCGACATGGCCGTCCCGAAGGACCCTTTCCCGGGTCGCTAGAATGCCTGTGGCGCGATGCTGAGGCAGCCGAGGTTGAGCGGTTCTGTCTCATGGTGTTCGCCATTTTAGAGAAACTGCCTCGGGCATTAGGGACCAAAAGGGTAGGAAAATAGTAATTCGAAGCACTTATCTCGGAACGAATCAGCAAGGAACTCCTCTGTAGTCGTCTTGGAGTGTTCGAAGGCAAGTGCCAGAGATGGATGGTCGAGCAACGAGGAGAAAACACTCCCACACATGTTGTTAATGAAGCCGCTAGCCACCGGCAATAAAAGCGGCAGAGAAGGTGCGTTTTGAAAAGGTGCAGATTACATTCAGCGCCGAGGAAGCTGCTGGGCAAATGCCTTAGAAACGCAGCAGATTGAGCTCTCCTGATGACAAGGGGAGGCTGAGGGGAGCCTGCGCTCTGACCCTGTAAGGGATCTGCTGGCTGGCAGTCCCACATCGCTCCGCGGCCTTCGGCGGTATCGAATAAGCAGCCTTCATGCCGGAATGCGATCAGTCACAGTCAAGAAAAACAGTCCACGGTCAAAAGATTGAAGATTCTAAAGAGAAGTAGTCAAAAGGAGAAAAAAGAGCTAGGCAAAAAAAACAGGTCTAGGAAGACATGACTGTCCAGCATAGACCGAGTCGAAACACTGGGAATCACCAGCAGAGGGCGGACCTATTCAAATCTGCAGACTCGGTCCTATGCTGCACAGAGGAGTCTATTCCCATACCTGACTGTTGTTTCCTTCCAATGAGGAGAATAGATTGGGGCAGGGCCAGTCAGTGGTGGTATTTACTGGTTCTCTGAACTACTCAAAATTCCCAGTACCAGTTCTCCAGAACTGGTCAGAACCTGCTGAAACCCACTTCTGGTGGGAAGGGAAGGAAAAGCTTGCTAAAGAGGTTGGTTAGTAGCAGTCCTATCAATTTAACCTCTGAATGCTTTGTAATTGCCCCCCATACTATCTGGCCACCATTTATGGAAGGAGCAAGCCCTCCATAGGACAGCCATTTTCACTGAGTGCCTACAACATGTTTTCAAAATGTCAGATGTGCCTACTGGCCCTCAAAGGTTGAAAAGCTCTAAAAAATAATAGAATTTTATAGCATTAATAGAAAAAAGGTGAACAAGGTGAACAGGTATGAACAGTCACAAGTAAATTATTGCCTTTTTGGAAACTGATTCTGTCATACCACAGTTTCATTGACCTGAGAAATTGAGGCTGCAACTGTAAACATGCTTACTAAGAAATAGGTTCTACTAAGCTTAATAGAATTTATCCCTGAGTAAACACATTTGAGGTGGGTTCATAATTTTTTTCACATGCATAGTTGATTATTTGGGGACCAGTGGTTACCTTTGGAATTTTAAGAATATTTGTGGACTAGAGAGTGGCGTTTTTCCATTCATTAAAAAAGGGCATTCATGGACACAGGCATCTGGAGATGATGATGATGATGATGATGATGATGATGATGTTGATGATGATGATGATGATGATGATGATGATGTTATAATATCATAATGCACACTCACTCTTTCATTTTTTTATTTATTAATTTGTATTTTATCTTATTATTTTTACAAATAACTCAAGGCTACAAGTATATCTAATACATCTTCCTTGTTCCTCCTCCTATTTTCCCCACAACAACAACCCTGTTGGGATAAGAGAGAATGGCTGGCCTAAAGTCACCCAGCTAACTTTGATGGTTAAGGGTTAAGGACTTGAACTCATGGTCTCCCACTTTCTAGGTTGTTAGCCACTAACCACACTTATGTCCTGACATTGGGCACAATCGTGTAAGACAGAGAGGTTGTGTTGTAATAGCATGACATCAGGGGTGAAATGCTCCCAGTTCGGACCTGATTGGGCGATCTGGTAGCGATTGTGGCAGGTGGTTCGGAGAACCAGTAGCGATGGTGATGCGAGGCTCCGCCCAATTGCCTGGGTGTCGTTACTTCCTCGTTTTAATCAGGAAGTAATGTGTTTTTACCCTCTGCACATGCGCAGGCTTTGCACATGCTCAGAGGGTCTGAACACGCATGTGACGCAGGTGCACGGTGCATGCACTTCCGAACTGGTAAGGAAGGTAAGTAGATTTCACCCCTGCATGACATGTTTTATCAGTTGTTGCCTCCTGACCACACTCTGCAGGTATCTATGACATTGGGATAACCAGATATAAAACACCAATTTACAAAAATGTTACCTGCTAACTCTCTATCCTTATTCTTTTTCTGTATAGATAGATCATATCCAAAGCACTGAGCTGTAAGTTGCCTATCATTTTTATTTTCTAAGAAAGCTTATGGGACCAACCTGAGGCTCAGAGGCATTCTTAGAATTAAAGATGATGTTGAAGAGTTCCCCATTTTAATTAAAAGAATGTTTTCAAGATGTACAAAATTAGATGGTCAGGAGATCTGACAGATACCGAGGGAAATACCTAGAAGCACATTGTTATTTCTATGCAGTGGGCACATTACAAATTAAAACCTGGTCTTCAATCAAGTGTGCGAATTACGTCCATTATAAAACCTTAGTTAATAGGACTTAAGACTTTGATGCTCAGGAGGAGCATGTGATGTGTGATAGTTACAGTTGTTGGAATGAGTGTGTGATATTGTGGCCATATTTTCAAGTCAGCCAAAGAGGTAGCTTTATTTCTGAGAAATTCTGCAAGCAACCATTTCCACAAGGGTTACAGGCCAGCCTGGGTTAATAATTAATGCTCCTCCAGAAATAATCAGCCAAAGGAACTCAGAAACATTCTTCATTTGTCCCCCATTATCCCATAGCTATCTGGACACTGCTTAAACCAGGTGAGTCACCTCAACATATAAACTGGGGCTATTAAGCAGGAAGAGGAATAAAAGCTATATTAAGATAGAATTTTTAACAAAGTAAATCTGTGAGTAAGAGTTGAAATAATATATTGCAGGATGAAATGTTCTCTTTCAGTTTTCAGACCACTTCATTCCATTCTGTTCCATTTGAACAGACATCATTCCTTACAGACCAACATGTTCAGACTACATTAAATTGTTTGGGGTATTCTTCCAGCTTCTAGTCCCAAATATATTTTTTTCTGTTTCTGCAGACCTTGGGGTTTTCCCAAACTTCCTTTTCATGCAGTCTGAGCATGAATTTGGAAGGAATAATAGATTTGATTAGATCATATAGAAGAAGCACCTGGTGCCAGCATGCGTGTGTATGAATGAAGATGGAAACTGGAGACTCAGAGAATGAGTAGAGAATGGGAAACTGAGATACTTTCCCAGAACTTTCTTATCCATCATTTATTAATGGCAACATCAAGTGATGACTTGCATGTCTGAATGAGCAATAAGATTAGAAATTCTGACTCATCTCTGTTGCTTCACAGTGAATCCATTTGCACATGCAGCCATGAATGACTGAGTAGCTGAACTAATAAGAAATCTTTTTGAAGTGGCAAATGTGTACAGCGTCTTTTTTTTTCTGAGTGCAGCCTCCCTCACACCAGTGCCACTCAAGATATGTTGCACTACTGTTCCCATCATCCTCAGCCATTAAGACCCTGAGCCAACATATACCATGTTATAAGCATGTTAAGAAGTTTGTCTCATTTCAGAGTTATAGAATTGGAAGTCCTTGTTTATATTTGCACTTTGTACATGTTAACTGCAATATTTTTTCCTCTTTTCCATCTTGCAGAGAAGATGGTTTTACTCGATAGCCAAGCTAGCGTATTAAAGTCAGAGCCTTGAACTAGAAGGACATCTAGGTTCAAATCCCCATTCAGCTGTGAAAATCCCTGGATGGCTTTGTGGCATTCCCTTGACTTATAACCTACTTTACAAGGGAAAACAATTGTATGCAGGAAGACAGGTAGCCTGAGCTTCACACGAAAAGGCTAGATAAACAGAAATACCCTGGGGCCTGAAGGTGGGATCCAGTGCAATACCTCAGGCTCTGCTCTATCTTTGTCAGGCAAACTATAACACTTTCTGTGACTATTTGTCTTGCACTAGGCCGAATGTTTGGAGACGAAAGGAAGAGGCGGGTTGGAATTGTGGGCTATGGACACCTAGGTGAGTAGCATTTCCTGACCATATTTGTCTTATCAGTCTTTCCATTCACTGAGTCTGCTAGTAGACAAGCATCTTGCAGTTTTATTATAAACACCTACTAACAGAAAGATTGCCCAATATTTGTGAAAACATGGGTGTCTTTTTATTTCAAAACCAATTTTAACAAGTGTGTTTTCTAAAACATTTGAGTTGGGATTTGGGAAAGATACCTTGATTTTTACAAGCATTCTGAATGGAGCCTGGTTGGCCAATTTCTGCCAATCTCGTATGTACCATCTTCACAGGAAAGGCAGCAGGTGACCGCTCTTAATAGGGACAAAGGAGGCAGTGGGTGGCTGATAGGAGAAGACAAAATTTCCTTGGGATGTGTCATATTTCTCACAGGCTGATAACCTGTTGGCTGCAAGTGTCACTATCTGCCGTTCCACAGAGCACTGCTAGAATTGGCCAAATGCTTTGGTCCTTCAGGGAAGAAAAGAAGGGGGAGGGGGGACAACTTACCAAGACTTTGCAGAAGTTTAAGATATCTATGCTAACCTTAAAAACCTCAACAATTTGCAGTGATGTGAGGGGGATTAAGGGGTATAATGTGTGCCTTAAATCTCTGCAGATGTTGGCCCCACCCACTCTGTGTTATCACATCGCCTGCCCTATCCCCTGGAGACCATATAAAAACAACTCAGCTTTTAGCTACTACAAAATTTCCCATTCCTGCGCTAGAGGCAGTCAAATGGTTTTCTCCAAAGACTCATATTCTCATATTTTTCAAACCCAGGCTTTTTCTTAGGTCTTGATTTTGACCTGGAGCAAATGCCAAACTGTTCTTTCACTTTTGATTAGTTTACTGTAACTGTCAGGATCTACTAACCCCTCCCCCCCTCACCCGCTTCTGATTTTTTTCATTGATTTTTGCTTTGGGCTAATAAAACAAGCCTCTATCTTCTTGTACATGTGCTTTTTCCCCTAAGTACATAAGGTTTATTTTGCTCGATCAGAAAAAAGATTAATGTATTGCTCAGCATTCTGTTTCCAATGGTGGTCAAACAAATCTTTCCTGAAGCTCATAAAACACATCCATTGTACTAAGCTATAATGTGATTTGCTTGGTTTTGGCTTAGCGCTATATAAACCATGATTTATGTTTGGGCATACTATAGTTTACTCCATAAATCATGATTAGGCAAGTTATATCTTAACCTGACATGCGTGAACTCAACCAGCGCATAAGAGCCCCCCAAATCATTGGAGGTTCTAATCAAAACAAAGGAAATTATTAACACAGAGTCACTCCCAGAACAAAATCTCAGCAAAATTATGGCAATTATGCCAGAATTTTATGGGTATATTTTTTTTCCACATCTGGAGTGTAACAGGTGCATGAGAGAGTTAAGTCCAAAATGGTGATAATTACTATCTCATTTTCAATCTTTAGGCCAGTATCTGACAAAACGAATCCAGGATGAAGGCTTCCAACATGGTTTGGAGCTGGCTTTTGTTTGGAACCGGGATGCCAGTAAGATGGAGGGCACCGTACCAGTGGAACTGAGGTTGGGGAAGTTGACAGATTTTTCACAATGGTGAGCAGACAAGCCCTTTCACAGTGAAGACTGGAAAAAAATTATTTATGACCTGTCAGCATACTTCGGATCATTGCAACATCCCTATGGTCAAATGATTGCAATCTGGGGGCTTGGCAAGTGGCTTACATTTATAATGGTTGCAAAAATTTAGGGTCATGTGATCACCATTTTCAATCTTCCCAGCTGACTTCCAATAAACAAAGTTTGCAAGTTAAGGACTACTGATATTGAGTTGAGAGCCACATTCAATCTTTGCTTGGGCTACGCTCCAGTACAAAAATCAAATTCAGTACAAAAAGTAGTTGTAGTTAGTGTGAGTGCTTCTCACCTGTTTAGCAGTCAGCAAAATGTTGTTATTAAGATGTTAGGCCCAAATTCAAGTCGTCTCTCAGCTCACTGAGTGATTTTGGAACAATCTTCATCTCTCAGCCTAGCCTATCTCACAGGATTTTTGTAATGGAAATAAATTGAGGAGGCAATTCTATGAATGGAGAAAAAGTGCAATATTATCTAATGAATTATAATCATCATATACGATACTATACACTGTATGATTATCTGTGTAGAAACTGAATTGAATTTTATTGAATGAATATGTCTAGGTAGACATGACTTCAATGGACGATTCACAATGTGGCCAGGGTTTATTATCAAAATCATTACATTTTTCTTATTGGGAAGACATGTTCTCTATTGGCATTCTTGCCAGGGGAAATTGATGACCTTCAACTGGCATTCAAAGGTATCTTTATTCAAACAGATACTTGGTTTTGTAAATTGACTGTTTGAGCTACTGCAAACCTAGGCAGAATTGCCTCACATTTATTTGTTCTGACTGACTGGGTTGATGTTTGACCCACCTACCTTTAGGTTTTGATCATTGTATTTTGTTTTGAATCTCACTTTTCTTAGTTGCCTTGAAAGATGAAATACAAACCCAATAAAGATGTATTTAGTAGAAAATCCCACATTCAAACATAAGCATTTCTACACAGGGCCAGGGAGGAGATACTTGACAACAGCCCTGGAGTGCTGCTGTTGATCAAAATAGTTTAGCATTCCCCAGCCTGAGGAAGATTCTGTGATTAAACCAATCTTCTCTGACTAAATGTGATGCCCTCAAGATGTCTAGACTTCCGTTATCATCACCGCTATCCTACTGGATGGGGAATAATAGGGAGTTGTAACTGAATACCTGTGGGTCAATCAAGCTGGGGAAGGCTAAATTTCAAGGCACATTGTGTGTGTGAATCTCTTGGGATTTTATGGAAGAATACCATTATTTTTTGAGATTTAGTGCAAGAGTTGGTCTATTAAAAATACTTTTCAGGGGTTAAAAAATAAAGGAGAAATGGATTGTTAACTAGGTACTGCACTGGTTTAGTTAAGCTAGCCTCTAGTTATTATGTTTCTTGCTTCTTTCCAAAGCCATCCTGATGTCATTGTTGAAGTGGCACATCCCTGCATTGTCCAAGATTATGGGGACTTCTTCCTTAAAGCTGCAGATTTTATGGTGAGGACTACAGCTGCCTACAAATAGAGGCAGGCAGCATCAGCATATTTTTTATTTCTTCCAAATATATTTCAAAGTAGTCTGGCAAAATGCATCTTTTAGTTTAATTGAATAAAAAAAATGAATCCATCTATACTATTGCTGTAAATATATCTGATGAAATATTATCTCCATCCTATTACCAGCATTCCTTTCCTGTCTGTCTTTTTAATCCTTTAGAATATTGTCCACCAAACAAATGCATTCCGTATCTATTGGAATTCCAGCCAGCCTAACCAACATCTTATTCAAGTGTTGGGTTTATACAGTAACCCCTATAATTCCCAACTAGCACAGAAGATGCTTATTTGGATATTTGCAATTGCATCATATCTGGATAGACCAGTTTAAGAACTTGGTTTACTTAAAAACAATGGTATCAAATGGTGTCAAATTTCTTTCTGACCAGTCAAAGATAAATCTTGTTGGAGACATTCTTCACTTCAGTGTATATTTCTGTAAGATATTTTGAAGGAATCAATTTATTAAGTGAATACTCAGCTAGCAGTGAAGAGACTATGTTTAGCTTATCTTCATCCTACCTCAACCAATGGAGCATCTTGTTCCAAATGTGATATGCAAAACACTCTTAACCATGGTTTCCAGCAGGAATAGGGAACTTTTGTGTGATCAGAAACCATTCAATGTTTTGGAAGGGATCAAGGATCATAGGGAGTGAAACAATAATGCAAATTGTGCATGACTATGTCATGTACATAGGCAGGGACAGGATTTGCTATTTGTTCTGGTGTTTTGGGAGAAAGTTTGATATTTTCTCTGTTCTTTAGATTATGTTAAGCTTATTTTTAAAGACTTGTGGTAATGTTTTCATGTTTTCTATGGTATAAAAATTATGCAATTAAGTTTTGACAAATGTTTGAGACAACTCCTGGAGTCCTAGTAAGGGTGGACATGAATTTGGATTACAGAATATGGTAAATCTAAATTAACATTTCCAAACATGGCATTTTCCAGATATGTAGTCTGACTCCCAGAATTCCTTGTAAGCATGGCCATTACTGAAAAATCTTGGAGTTGAAATCTGCATATTTGGAATGTCAGTTTGTGAAAGGCTAGTCTAAATGAAATAAATCACATTATCACTTAGTATGCTATGTGTACTCGGTTTCTGTATCCTTCTCCTTTGTCTTACCAAATTAAATTATTCTGCATTCAATAATTGGAGAGAAGTAGTAAAAATATCATCCTGAAGCACTCCTCTCCCAGACTCCGCACCATCAACAATGCAAATATCTCCATGTCCTTTAGGTCGGATCACCAACAGCCCTAGCAGATGCAAACACTGATCTTAGATTACGTGAAGTGGCAAAAAAGACTGGACACACTCTCTATATCCCCAGTGGAGCTCTATGGGGTGGTCAAGACATTCAAAGGTTGGATGATGCAGGGATGCTCCAGGTAAGTGCCTATAGAGGAATGGGGTAGGGTAGCCTTAACCTAATGATATCTATAAAAGGTGGGGCTGCATCTTCCAGAATTGCCAGTCTGGAAAGAAATTGCAGTTTTTGCAATTTAAATCTTGGAGGTGTACCCTAAGTCCAGATAGGAAACCTTAACGTAAGAGAAAATGTTGATAAAAGGAAATTTGGGCATAAATATTTTTTTTTTTTTTTTTAAATTTGATTTATATGCCGCCCTTCTCCGGAGACTCAGGGCGGCTTACAATGCGTTAAGCAATAGCCTTCATACTTTTGTATATTTATACAAAGTCAGCTTATTGCCCCCACAAACTGGGTCCTCATTTAACCTACCTTAGAAAGGATGGAAGGCTGAGTCAACCTTGAGCCTTGGAGAGATTCAAACCAGCAGTAAATTGCAGGCAGCTGTGTTAATAACAGGGTGCTTTAAACCACTGTAGTACCAAGTAATTTGAGGAATTACTGACATCATCAAATGTAGCTGTGGAAGACTCCAGTTTGAAATTCTGGAAAACTTTCAGTCAAGCAATGTACACATCACAGAAAAAAACAAATTAATACTCTGACTTAATGTAAGGCACATTCTTATTCAGAAGTGGAAATCTTTGCATTGGGATTCTATTATTTAAAAGGCTAAAAGAAAAGGATATTTAAGGATATGTGACAAAATACTCCATTTTGTCTTTTCTAGGCATTAACAGTCACCATGACTAAACACCCAGACAGCTTCCGGTTGGGTGGGTCTCTTGGGGAGCTTGCAAAGGGAGCCCAGGAGGAAAGCATGGTGCTGTACAATGGCCCTGTGCGGAGTCTGTGTCCCCTGGCCCCCAACAATGTCAACACAATGGCAGCAGCTTGCATTGCTGCTCCAAGTCTGGGCTTCGATGGTGTGAAAGGTTGCCTGGTAGCAGATCCCAAGTAAGTCTTCATCTAAAGGGTAAGCAACTTGGTACCCGTGAATCCCTCTTAATCTCTAATGCACATCTTGCACGCCTGGTTTTTATCTGGGTTTCTTTGTGGTTATAAAAAAGTTTATTTCAGATTTTTAAATTTTAAATAAGAAACCTGCGGTGCCTTATCTTTATTTACAAGACTTCTCCCATTCCCCAAATAGGGCCTGCAGGCATTCTCAGAAAAAAGAAATGAATGTGGGGTGGTGGGGGCAGAAAGTGCAGAAATTTGTTTGGGAGAATGCCAAGCAGAACTGGCAGCCTTATGTGTCAGAAAAGTCAAGATGATTTCCACAATAGTCATAAAAAGGAGTAGTTTTGATCACCAAGTAGCTGTAACCATTTTGTCTTTTTTTTAATCATTCAGTGTAGACACCCCTGATGCTAATTTTTTTTTTAAAAAAAGGAAACTCATATATCTAGGGAATATTCTGAGGGCTACAAACGGTGTTATATTCTTGATAAATGGAAAGAAATATCATGGTAGCCATTTTCTGAAAGTGCTCAAGACAGGATCTCAAAATGTAATAGGTCTCTCCCACCCAATGATGCCAAAGCAGTGTCTCTCAATCTTGATAATTTTAAGATAAGTGGACTTTAATTTCCAAAATTCCCCAGGCAGTATATTGGCTAGTGCATTCTGGGAGTTGACATCTACACATCTTAAAAGTTACCAAATTGGAGAAACACTGTATGAAGCATGTGCCAGCAAACTCATGGCTTTGTGTCATTTTTCTTCTAAACTTCTGATCTAATTGAACACAATTTTATCTTGCAGCCTTCCCAACTATCATGTGGTGATGATTGAAGCAACAGGCCTAGGGGGCTTCTCAGTCAGCACCAGTCGCAAGAACCCAGCTGCTTGTGGGGCTGTCACAGGGTCAGCCACCTTTGCTGCTTTCTGGAGCAGCCTATTGGGTGAGGATGAAAACCTTCCCTTATCCAGAATCTATGCATCCATCATCTAGATTGTATGTCAGTTTGTTCCAATTCTGACTTTGATTAAAATAGTACCTGTAATTCTTGGTTGGAACTTAGCTTTCCCCAATCTTTCATGCCAGTTGTGCTGGATAATCATTTCCTAAATCGCATCTAGCATCACTCATCTCACTTCTGATGGGATTAACTTTAATATTAAAGTTCAGTGCTTCTAGATGGCAACAGGTTTGGGAAGGCCAGTTGAATATTACCCTGAACATGTAACTTTGACAGATGTGCAGATGTGGCAATTTCAACATTGCATTTGCAATGGCAAACTAGTGTATATCATCAGCTAAATATGCTTTTCTACACAAATCCTTAACTACATCGCTATCTATTTTTATATCAGACTACCTTACTAGATATTCTAAACTAGTTTTGTTACAGCAATGTGGTCACTGATGTAGTTAGATCACTTGAGTTCTTGAATAAAATAGATTAATAGGGGTCTCCTTTTACAGAAATATTTATTTTACCAATAAATAAGCATCTTTGTTTTTTTAGAAAAATTTATAAAAGGGTTATTTTATAAGACTACCATTAGCTGGTCCATGATTTTAACTAACTCCTGGTCGCCATTAAGGATAGTTTTAAACACTTTTAAAAATTAAGGTGAAAGAATAATGTAGAAAGTAAGTCTTGGCATTCCCATGCCAGCTCAAGTTCTTATACCACATCTGATTTCTTATTGGTTCTTTCTTTCTTTCTTTTTCTTCTTCCTTCCTTCCTTCCTTCCTTCCTTCCTTCCTTCCTTCCTTCCTTCCTTCCTTTCTATCTGCACCTCCTACCTGCACCACTGGAGTAATTATATAATTATATAATAATACAATTGCTATAAAGAAGTGATAAGAGAATTGTTCCTATCTACTCTAGTGAGTAGACAATCACATCTCTTGGTTATGCCTTCATTTACGTTGTATATTATTTGTTTCCTATTTTGGGTGATCTCTGAACTATCCTTAATGGTGATCAGGAGTCAGTTTAAGAAAACATAGATGGAGAGAAAGTGTGGTATAGTGGTTAAATTTATTTAGCGTATGGCATATCATATATGGACTAGCAATATTTATTAACATTTCATTTAGATTAATAAAACACCATAAAATATAAATGTTAAAAAGATCTATGCTAAAATATTAATGTCTAGGAGATTTAACCATTAAAGCAGTAGTGGGTTTCAAATCCCGGCACTACCAGCTCGCTATCGGTAGTGCATGGTTACATGCACTCGCAAAGCGCTTCTGTGCATGCGCAGAGCACTTTTTATGACGTCTGGGTGGGTGGGCGGAGCCTCCCGCCGCCACCACTGGTCCATCCGAACCGGGGCGAACCGGGAGCAACCCATCACTGCATTGAAGCACAGCATTTATATTTTTTTAAAAATAAAATATTGGACTGGTACATGCCCTTAGCTTACAGTTGGTCACAATATGAGCTACAGTATGAAGTGGGGACATACAGTTACACTAAGGGGAGGATACTCTGCCCCGTTTATACACAGAGTCCTGGCAGATTCCATGTGAGATACGAATCCTATTCAGGATTGTCCATGGCTAACATGATAGAGCTTGGCACTTTTTTTTTGTGGGGTCATTTATATATCTTGGTTGAAGTATTAGTTTAAAACTGGGGACAGTCAGATATTATGAATGGAACCTCACTGGATACAATTCATCTATTTCAAGGTCATTGCGGTAGGGATAAATAAAGGGAGATTCTCATGTAAGCCACTTTGAGACAGGATATTAATCTAAAATTAATAATAAAATAATAAAAACTGAAAAATAAAGGTTGCAACCCTACTTGGGCAAAGGTCCTTCTGAATTCAGTCATCTTTCCCCAAATATTTAGGACGGATTCTAGCAGCAGGATTTAGCCTCTGTGACAAAAGGATGAAAGCTTTTAAACTTTTTCCCCTAAAGCCATGATGTCCTTCCCCAAATCTCAGCAGGTGAAATAATTAGGTGTACCTAGTAAAAATGTCACTCTCTATAAAACTGAGATTTGTGGCTAGAAAATCAGGCTTCTTCTGCAACTTGCTATGTGGAGAGAGGAATCAGTTTTAAAAGAGATAAATAGAATCAAACAATGCAAAGGAGATTAAAGACACAAAGCTGTTTCAATCACATACAGGATTTTAGAAGGATCTCCAATAGAAAAATAAGCAAGAAAGAGTAAGGTTGTAAGTAGTTCACAAATTACTCATTCTTAATATAGAAGCAACTCTGCTGTAAAGCGGAGCCATTTGCATAAAATATACAAGGACTGAGACAATTGTAGAGAAGCAATAATCACCAGAGATAATAGACTTAACTTCCCACATTGTTAAAATAAAAATTAATCTTAAAGAATATTTTTATCTAAACGTTTTAGTTTCCCTATTCCTTAGGATAACTTGATCACTGATGTTAAAGTATAAGTGTTAGCTTCTGTGAGGTTCTTTTTAAAATTCTTCCCTTCTCGCCATATAACTTTTTACTCCATTTATCAAGAGTTCAGCTTTGTTTTTCAAAAGGGCCCAATTTCAGTATTTTTAAGAAAGAGGAAATAGCTGAGGAAATTGATTTGTTTAGATACTGAAGCAAACTTCTGCTTCAGACAATAATAAGGGAATTGGCTAAGAATCAGGTTTGGGAAATACCGTAGAAGCAGCAACCCAGGCCTTGAATGATCTGTTCTCTTTTCCTTCCTATAGTGTGCCAAGGGCATGGAGGCCGAGTCTACCTATGCTGAGTTTATGAGATATCTTCCTAAGAGGATTCACAGAAGATACCTGGAAGTAATTACAATGGAATGGGAAGACCAAGAAAGGTAGCAGCACCTCATTAAAGGAAGCAGAAGAAACCCATTCACACATCTTGGATGGTTTCAGTTTGTCAGTCAAATAAATCAACTTTCTCCAGTCTGGACACCTTGT